CCTTGATCACCCTCATCTCTTTCTTCCTTCAGTCCCCTCCGGCTTTGCTTTTCAGGGCCTTAGGTAGTTCCACGGGTCCCTTGGAACCTCTGGAGAGCACAGGAATGAGAAAAGGTGGAAGCAGGGCATCTTGCTGTGATTCAGAGAGTGGCAAAGTTCCCCCCAGAACACAGTCTTTGGAGTTTCCAAAGAGGCCCTGGAGGTATGTGGGACCCAACACGCCTGTTAAGACAGGCTGCAGGAGTCCCGTGTGGGGTTAGGGCAAGCTTTTTGGCTTGATGGGTTTCAGCTGCAGCTGGCAGGAAGCTTGGAAAAGGAAAAACGGGGAGGGGGGGGGTAATGTCAAGTCCGGACAAAGGCAGAGTTTGTTTGCTAAGTGACAGATTTGAAGAGGCAGTGCTGAGCTCTTTAAGGCAGCCCAGGTCCTTATTTTCTTCTTATCTGGGTAGGGGGTTCATGCTGCTCCCATCCATAAATCTTGAGGTCTTTTGGATCATCTTTGACTTCTGCTCCTGACCCACTCCACTTCAGGCCCAAGGTCTGAAATTTCTCCTCCCATACCTCTCCTCCCCGAACTGACACTGTGCAGCTCCTAGCCCCGTGTCTTTTCCGTAGGCCCCCCCTTTTTTGGGGGGGTCCGGTCGTGGGGCCTGAACTCTGGGCCTGGGCGCTGTAACTCAGCTCTTCAGCCCAGGGCTAGCGCTCTACCGCTTGAGCCACATCACCACTCCCGGCTTTTTTTCTTTTTGCTTATGTGGTGCTGAGGAATAGAACCCAGGGCCTCAGGCATGCAAGGCAAGCGCTCTACCACTGAGCCACCTTCCCAGCCCTGTCCCCCCCTTTTTTATTGTCAGTCGTGGGGCTTGAACTCTGGGCCTGGGTGCTGCAGCTCAAGGCTAGCACTCTACTACTTGAGCCACAGTGCCACTTCTGGTTTTCTGGTGGGAATTAGAGATAAGAGTCTTACAGGCTTTCCTGCCTGGGCTGGCTTTGAACTGCGATCCTCAGATCTCAGCCTCCTGAGTAGCTAGGATGACAGGGCTGAGCCCCTGGCACCTGGCTTAGGCCCGCTTCTTTTGTTGGGCTCTGACTGAGAGCTGAGAGATGGGAGTAGAGGAGAAATGCTCTTGAGACCTTCACCCGCTCCCCAACCCCTGGTCCGTGAGCAAGTCCCCTCTGCATGGAAGTCCTACCCACTATATATAGCTTTCTCTTTTCAGGAGCTTGAAAAATGTCTGTGGTCTCAAAAAAGCCATCCTCTGGAGGCTGCAAAACTCAGAGGTGCCACATGAGGCAGAGCTGGCACCGCTGTGGGGTTGTGAACACCTGAGGCTGCTTCAGCTGTGCCTTTCACAGGCTCTGGCCCTCTCACAGCCCATGGAAGCCTGAGTTGGGGAACAGTCCTGGTCCCCACTACTTCCCATCACACAGCTAGGTCTCAGTCCTCCTCCAAGCCTGTGGGTTGTCCATGCTCCTGATTTGGAGGCTGCTGGGCAGGGCATGTGTGGTCAGCCCTCAACTATGCTGTATCTGGGTTCTGCAGAGGTTGCTGGTTCTACCTCTTTCTCTGTGGGCACCCCAAGAATCTTTGAGGAATGAGGAACCTCCCTACTGTCCCCCACCCACTGTCTAGGGTATTTCACATGGTCTCTCTGGGAGACCAAAGAACTCCCAGTGCTCAGTGGAAGGTCCATCTTCTCTTGGATGAGGTCTGTTCCCTCTCCAGGAACAGGAACTAAGCAACACCACACCGGCTCTCACAAGCACCCTAATCTGAGCCAGCAGCTGTTGGCCCAGTAGCCTCCTCTCTCATAGCTTAGCATGCTCTTTTCGGGAGACAACACTAGGCCCATTTAGTAAAGACAGTAAATAATTGGCTCCACCCCCACCCCCTTTACTGTGAGATGGCACTCCTTTGGGGCAGCTACAACCATATAAGGCAACAAGATCCCCTTAAAGTGACCTTCAAGTCTGGGCGGTTGCAAGACCTCCTTCTCTGCTACTTGGGCAGCAGCCATAAATTCTAGCCTGCCATGATGAAGCCCCTGTCCACACATCCACACCTAGGTCTCTCTGCCTCCTAGCCCCTGTAGGTTATATAGATTACCTCAGACAATAGCCAGTACTTCTCTCTTGTGGGAAGGGGTCTTGCCCATCCCTTTGCTGGCAATAAACTTTTCTTATCTGCGTGTTTTTCTGGCAAAGTCTAATAAACTGTAAGAGCAGCCTTCTCCTTATCTCTGCCCCCCGCCTTGTAGATTTTGCAGGAGGCATTAAGCTGTTGTACATCTAGAATGCAGGGAACTGAAGCTCTCTTGGCCCTCTTAAAGCCTCTGTCCTTCTCGTTTAAAGTTAAGAGAGGGCTTCTTACCTCCTCTCTTGGGCTCAGCTCACCTCTTCAAGTAGCTTGTATTCCACGAGTAAGACAGCACACCTTGCTTTAAGGGTTGAAATCTTGCTAACATTTTGCCTGGCTTGGTTTCAAACCTAGATTCTCTTGGCTCTGAAATAGTTGGAATTATAGACATGAGCCACAGTGCCTGGCCAATGCCTACCTTTTAGTTAACTCATGTAAAGTGCTTAGCACACTTCCTTGTTTATACTTATAGTTCAATGCATACGTGTTCACTCATCATTATTCTAGGCCCAGACATGTGGCACTCCTTTTGCATACTTTGAATCAGCTAGAGCTGCTAAGGTCACCTGGGACCTCAGATTCCCTGGCCCATGTGGTGTTTCTTTGGCAAAATCTGCCAAAGGGACTTCTGCAGAGTAGCCAGGTGGAGCATCTGGCAGAACTCCCAGGGCTCCCCATCTGTCATCCCTTCTTCTGCAGGGACTGCAAAGGGCATCTGAGTCAAACCTCTCTGGGGGCAGCCTCCCTCCCACATGCCCAAGGGGAATGAAGACAGGCTGCAGGAGGAAACCTCCAGGGTTAGAATCAGGACAAGGAGACCCAGTCCAACTATATGACCTTGAACCAGTCCCAAAGCTTCCCAGGTCAATCACAGATGATGATTTATCCCCTGTAGAGACTATCATGATAACAGGTAGGACTTGACCATATAGGCTCTGGGGCAAGTATGAAGTAGCATTAATATTGTAATATTATATCCCAACAGTTTCAAATCAGGGAAACAGGTGATCTGTTTTTCTTTATAACTATTTCTGTCCCTTTGTCAACTGCTTAGTCCCACACTCACCCAGGTGACCAATGCGTATGGCAATGCCCTCTGCACCAACTCCTTTGCAAAGCCAGTGCCTAGTGAGCTGAGCAAGGATTAAAGGAAGGATGCTACACCTGTAGTGGCAGTTGATTTCTAATTCCAAGAGATCAATTTTTAGGAGCATTTCTTCTTTTTTTAAAATGAAGGTGATAGGAAAGTTTGTTAGAAAAGAAATATGGCAGAGAAAGAAAGCACATGAGTGGTACAGACATTCCATAGCATTTTGCCCATCTCAGGAATCTTGTGCTGTCTTCTTAGGACTACTACTTCTGATAAGAGTGGACAAGCTAATATAGATCAAATTCCTAGCTGAGTATGTTAAAATCTGCTACTAAGTGTACATGTGCCTTTTAAAGTTACATATGCATATGTTTATTGTATGTATTTATTTAAGTCTGTTTGAGGGATCATGGGGCAAATATGCAGTGACAAATCACAGAGCCAACATGGGAGAAAAGAAGGAAACCCAGGAACATGTGCCTGGCATCTGGGGCTCTGTCCCACTGTTGTGGGTCTGCTGATTCAAGAAGATACAGCAAAGATGCTGAGCAGAGAGCTTTTAAACTTCTGGGGTTAAAAGACAGGCCCATCATGAGAATGGCATGCTTGCATCTTTCATGGACTGGACTTCACCGTAGAAGTTTGAATGAACTGAAATGGGCTAAGCCTTCAAGTGATATAAATCCTTTCTTTGGTTAAATGTGTTAAAGCCATCCAGACCTACTGTAAAGATACTCTCCACGTAGGAAGAAAACTTCATTCTAGGCTTCAGATTATCCCCACAGGCTTTTGGATTCAATGAGTACCAAAGCTCAGTCTAAAGCTACTGGTATGTGAAAAGACAAACTAACACTAAGGAACACAAATAGCCATTAGGAACAGGTTACTGGGGTTCCAATCACATAAGGAGGTGAGGTTTAAAAACAAGTATGCTTAATATGCTCACACAGATAAAAGATAAGAAATTCTGATGGAGAAGTGGAAATGCTTTTTTCCCAATTGTTTCTCCTTTAGTTAGTTAAATCCCATTAATTGCAGTTTAAAAATGCAGGGTACCACTTCCTCTGCACAAGTCTACAGGGGAGTCACAACTGCCAAAACAAAACACAAAGAAACAACCCATTGAGCAAAAAACAAATCCAAATCCTAAAAGAAACAATAAACTGCCTTCTGGGAAAAGGTAAGAAGTAATGGCACACTGCATTCAAGGATGCTTGTTTGAAAATGTGCTTGCATAGTACCAATACCTCATGAACCACCATCCTAATTTCCTGTAGAATATGTGTTGCTTGTTTATGATGCATTAAATATAGATAGCCTGAAACTTAGCAGTCCACCATATTAAAGGGCTTTTGGCCTTTGGAAAGGACCTGTTTTCCCCCTTTCCCTTGTACCTTTCCAGACCCCTGGCCCTGTGTCATAAAACAAACAGCAATTCCCATCCATCAATTATTTGCCTAGTGCTAGGCCCCTAGAGCTTTCTTTTCATTGTTAGAAGTATTTTTTACAACACACACGGAAGCTTAGTTTTCCATCTTACAAAGGGAGAGATACAATATGTTCAAGGTGACCAACCTAGCATCAGAAGAGGCAGTGGATCCAGGCCTGTGGCTCCTAGCAGCATGCTCCTAGACAGGTGCCACTCCAATTGCTGGATAATCCTCAATGCCTGGCAGCCTTAGGTTTCTTCTCTCCATAAACACTCATTGAACACCGACTGTATACAAAACCCCAACTTGGAAGAACTGGCTTCAAGGACCAAAACCAAGGCTCAGAGAAGTGAGAACACTTTAATGGAACTGAGATTCATCCATTCCTCTTCTTCCTCTTCACCTTTTCTGGACTTCAGCATCTGGCATGTAGGAGTGACCCCAGGGTACATGTATAGATAGAAAAGGCAGTTCTGGCCACCAGACCACTCCTGGGAAAGCTCGTAGGGACCATCCATGGAAGATGCTACCTTCAGGGGAGATAAGGGGAACCCTGGTAATGATCGCCCCAATTTGGAAGCCAGTGCTCATAGAGGAGCTGGGATTGGCACTACTATTTCTAGCCTGGGATAAAAGTGCAACTGTCAAGTAAATCTCTCACTCTACTAGGGACAAAAAAAAAATCCCCAGGCTGGGACATGCAGAGGGTCAAAGACTGTGGCAGTGGAGGACAGGGGTGGGAGTGTGTGTGTGTGTGTGTGTGTGTGTGTGTGTGTGTGTGGTGTGTAGGGTAGACATGAGGCAGAGCCCAAGCCAGTCCAGAGCTGGCCCATAGCAGCTTTCCCACTTTGGAGGTTGTGCTTGATGAGTTTGATTGGGTAGGAGGGGGGTCCTTGGGCCCAGTAAAGAGGGGAAAAAGGGAGAACATGACTGCCCTGAAGGAAAGAAACATGGGTCTGGGGCGGGGGGAGGGCTGGGAAGAGAAGAGTGGAAGGAGACAGGGAAGTGCAGGACACAACCAAAGATCTCCAAGGATCTGGAGAAGGGCTTCCAGTAGGTAGGAAACAGATTCATTCTGATGCTGATGTACTGTAGCAAGGAGGAAAGGGCTGGACCCATAGAAACACCTGCTGGCTCTATAGACTCAGCAGAAGTTAAGTGAATGAAAAGAGATTCCAAGTAGCAAGAGGTGGAAAAGGAACAAGTAAGATGGGGATAGGTAAGCTGCAGTCCAGGGACAAGTCAGGCCTGGAGGCCAGCCTGGGCTCTTGGGCAGGAGCTACAGATGTCCTCTGGTCTAGGCTGAGTCCAGGAGGGAGGATAGGCTGACCTGGGCATTGCCTTGTTCTGTTATGGATTAAGAAGCAAACAGGTGATAGAGGTTCAAGGCTCAGGCCTGTCAAGCAGCACTGCTAACCTTCATGCCTCACCAAGTTCCCAAACCTTCTTGCCCTCTGAGCTTTGGAGACCGCCCCCCACCAGATCCCAGCTCCTTCACTCCCCACCCTGTCAACCCCTCTTCCCCCCAGCACTGAGGAATTGAGGGAACTCACCACTGGGTTCTATAGCTTCAGGGAGGTGACCCGGGGGATGTGGAAGAGCTGAGTCTCCTCAGAGCTTGTGGAGCTGTGGTATCACAGAATGAGATGTGTTCCTAGCCCCAACACATGGGCAAACCCGGAGCTATGATATTGCTATTTCAGCAAACCCTCCAGGGGAGAGGAAGAGTCCCAGGAGGCTATGCCAGGGTAGAGATGTTAAAGCAGGGTGTGGGATAGGGCCTGGCGCTCCTCAGAGCTTAAGTCCCTTCAAAGCTAGACCACCAGCCTCCTCTGCCTGAGTCTCAAGAGCGGGGTAATAGGGGGTGGGCGCTGAATGTGGGAAAGATGTTCTGCTCCTCTAGTGCCTCCCTTGGTCCTGGCAGCCCCTCACCTGAGGCGTTTCCGGATAGGACGGAAGTATTTGGAGGTCTTGACAGCAAAGATGATACTCGGGATCAGGAAGAAGGTGCACCACCCCAGGCAAAACCAGAAGGCATTCTGGACAGCGGGATATGAGATCAGCTCACCTGGCCAGGCAGCAGTGGGCAAGAAGGCACAGTGTCTTCCTGACCACTCTGTACCCACTGCCCCCACTGCAACTGCATTGACTTGGAGGTGGAACCAAGCAGGGGCCATGTGTGGCCCTTGGCCCAGCTTTGTCTGACCCCTGAATAAGACTCGCTATCCACACTCACCCAGGGGTCAGCCATCATGTCACATAGGATCACATGACCATTGTCCAGGGCTCCAGAGAGGGGCTGGCAGGTAGCGATTCGCTGAGTCACCTGAGGTAGTCACATAAGCCAGGTACATGTGGACATACCCAGCATGCAGCTGTGCACCCCATATTCCAAGGAGAGGTTGACAGGGACACCGAGAGGCCCAGGGACACAGCTGTGGGCTTTCCCATACTTTATACAGATACAGAACAGCAGGGCCCCACAGAGACACATGGATACAGGGACACGAGAGACAGGGACACGCTCACAGGCTCCTTGCTCAGCTACTGCATTTTGTACCTATGCACCTATGTTATGGCCCTGCTGTGTGCCTGGCACAGCATTAAGTCCCTCTACCTGGAGAGGCAATATGTGCACACGCACCTCACATGCTCTGTATGTGCCTGCACATGTGCACAGCACACACATCATGAATGCATAGAGTGAATCCACTAGTGTGGATGCCAAGACAGCAGTGGTCAGCACGGGGCCACGAAAGAAGGTAGTCTTTGAAAGCTGGCCTTAGACAAGCTGGTCAAAGGGAGGCAGCCCAGGCAAGGATAGGGGAGCAAGGTATGGACAGCACCTTCTAGAGAGTCATGACCACCCCAGTTCACGTAGGCCCCCTAGAGGGGCAGGAGCAGAGAGGTAGGTTATGCAGAGTCCAGCCAATGAGCAGGGGTTAGAAGAACCAAGGTTGGGGTTAATCCTGAAGGCCTAGGGCACCACCAAAGGAGGCATGAGATGGGAAGAGCAGAATGACCAGCTGGTCCACTAGGGGTGGAGGCCAGGTGGGGTCTGTACCTCTACTCACCTCTTCTCTCACCCAGGCTACATACTGGGAGAAGTAGCCCAACTCCCGGGTCATGAAACATCTGCTTGCCTGTGGGAAAGAGAAGAGGCCTGGGCTGGCAGGAGTCCATACCCTCTGGGAGCCTCAGGGAGGGGAGGTTGGAGAAGCCTGGAGTGAAAGCCCCAAGTTCCTCTGTTTTGGAGGCAGCGCTCAGCCCCACTCACATTCTCCATGATGTGATTGATAAAGACAGGCAGCTCTCCTCTTAGGACGGTGATATTGCCAAGGAGGGCTGTGGTCTCCAGCTGGAGGAGAGGAGAACAGGTTCTAACACAGTGTCCTGCTCAGGAAGCAGTGACTCATTGCTCATCCATCCATTTATCCATCCAACATAAAGAACCAAGCATGTCATTTTAGCAGAGGAAGGACAGGCCTGAGGGCCTAGAGGTTAATGATCCAGGTCCCCAAGGATCTGCCACCCACCCACTCTCTTAGTCCCATCTCCACCTGCAACCCCAGGGCAGATGCAATACCAAACCAGCTGTTCCTACTTTCCTCCTCCCTGTGCTGAGCCCTCCCCATCCTCCCCATCCCAGTAGCCACCTGGAGATTTGGAGCAGCAGACTCCAGTGCCCTGGCATTGAGGTTAAGCTTAGCCTGTGGAGGAGCAATTAGGGCTAGTTAGGAGCAGGGACACGGGAGGGAAAAAAGTGGAGTTAGTGGCCCAGGGGCCTCTCTCCTCTTTTACTGCCCTCTCCCCAGGGCCTCCAAACTTACTATAAGGTTCTGCTGGGGGACAACCTTCTCATGGTAGAGGTTTCTGAGCCCTTGGGCTGCCTCCTGCAGCTGCTGTCCCAGCATAGAATTGCCCTGAGAGCAGACAGGGGAGGTGGAAAGTGCTACTCTTAAAGGAAGAAAATCATTAAGCTCCAGGGGCTTTTCTGGGTTCTGGGCACCTCAGCCCAAGTTCTACATCTTCCCCTGGCTTGCTGGGTGCCCCAAAGCCAACCACACAGCACTAGCCCCCAGTGGTGCCCACTGAAACTGGAGAATGCTCCTTGGCCTACCCAGGATACAGGGCTGATGTAGGATCTCATATCTCAATGAGAGCTTTTGAACCTCTAAATATTTGCAAATACAAAATGCCATTTCCTCCCTTGAAGGGCAGCTGTCATACTGATTCACTGCAATGTCCTCAAGGAGAGCCTGCAAATGATGTGAAAAAAGAAGTGCTTGCCCAGCTGAGTGACGTTAGATCAACTACTATATCTTTTTTTTTTTGAGATGGGGACAGTCTTCTTAATAGATAAAAAAAAAATGAAGGCTGAGAGATGCTAAATGACTTCAGAGGGCCAGACAACCAACTGGTGGCAGAGCTTGAGTCCAAACAGACACGGACATGTCTTCAAGCTTAGTAGGAAGGCAAAGAACCCAAGAAATTGGTGAGCCTCTCTTCTTCTCTCATCCCCTCCCCAACCCAAGCATCCCTCTTCTTCCTATCCAAGGTCTCCTGACTACTGCCTGTCAGGTGAAGTCTCTGTTCCCTTCTCACTTGGGCTTGAGCCAGTCTTTCCAAATCCTGGGACAGCTGCTGCATGTCAGTCTTCACCACAGGCTTCTGGATCTGAAGGCAGAGGAGATAAACTCTGACATCTCCAGCAGCCACCTCTGCCTTTCCCAGCCTTTGCATCCCCAGTTTTATCGAATGCACCCTGCTCTACCTGTCTATGAAGAGATTTTGGTCATAATTGATTTGAAGTGGAACTGTAAAACATTTCAGACAGTTTCCAATGGGATAGAAAAGGAAACAACAACAATAACAACCAAAATCCCTGAAGCACATCTGGTGTGAATCAAGGAAGAGGCAGTTTGCTACTAGCATTCTTGGCGGCTGTGGGTTCAGCACCATGAACAGCGACATGAGCTGCTGGGGAGACCCTGTGTGGTGGGGATGAGGGGGAGGGGTGGTGGTTGTCATGATCTGGGCACATTCCCAACCAACCAGGATGAGATCCCAGGAATAGAGAGGTTAACAGCTGAAACAAGGTGAGAGATGCCCAGTTCCTGGGTGGCCCCCCTCTGTTCTGCCACCACTATACAGGGTACCTCAGGTACCTATTGCTGACCTGAACAAAGAAGTCATGATAGTTGATTTTCTCTATCCCACTGCTCTGCAACGCCTCCAAGTCCTGGCGAGCTTCAGGGCTCAGCAGATCCAGATCTTTTATTTCCACGTTGAAGCCCTTCAACTCTTGCTGCATTTTTGTGGCATACTGGGGAGAGAGGACAAGTTGCTGAGCTAGAACCCCTGAAATGTTCCCCCAGGCCAGCATCCTCAAGCCCCTCAAGACTCTTCTTGATTATTCAAGGTCCCCTTGCCTTGGATAGCTCCTAACCTCTATCCTCAGAAAAGCTTCCCAGACCCTTCTGCTTCTCACTCCTCCCCAAGACCCAGCCTTCTTCCGGTCTCAGTCTGGCTACTAGATTTTGGCACAGATCTTACCTGACGCGGTCACCTGATATGAAATAGCTTTTCATATCCCCTGTTCTAGGGCCTCCATAGTGTTTGACTCTCTTTGCTTATTGTACTTGCTAACTGCTGTCAGCTCCATCATACTGGGAACTTTGACTGACCATCCTGCCCCCAAACCCTAGATCTAGAGCAGAGGCTCCCATATGGTGGCAAGGTACAAGTGTGTGGGCTGTGTGAATGAGTGAATGGCCAGAAATCAATCACATTTTCAGGAAAGTCCCTTAAGGACCTAGAGCTTGAAACTGAGACTTTGGCCTCAGTGGCCAATGGATGAGGAACTGGAGCATTCACTTGCTGGAAGTTACCCAGCAAATCAGAGAATGCAGCCCGACTTTGCTCACTGCTTCTAGGCTGCCTTCCTAGAGGTGGGGGTGACCATGTGTGTGTGTATGGGAGTGGGGGGGAATCTTAATACCTCTCAGAGGAGGTGGGGCTAGTTCTGGGGCTTGCACTCAGGGTCTTATATTCTTTTTGGGTTTTTTTGGTCAAGGCTGGTGCCCTACTACTTGAGTTATACCTCCAGTTCTTAGGAAGTGAATTAACAAGCATTTTTCCTTGTTAATTGGAAATAAGAATCTCTTGGATGAGTCTGCTCAGACTGGCTTTCAACCATGATGCTCAGACCTCAGCCTCTTGTGTAGCTAGGATTATAGGCTTGAGACACCAGCTTAGAGGCAGGGTTTTAAGCAGCTCTTTAGGTATCAGTGACAGACAGATGTAGGAGTGTGGATGTGTACAACAGACAGTGCCTCCTGGTGCCCTGGAAAGCACATCTTGTCTTGCTGATTTCTGCATCAACTCATTGTCACCAAATTTGAGGACAATGTGTGTGTGTGTGTGTGTGTGTGTGTGTGTGTGTGTGTGTGCGCGCGCGCGCACATGCACCAGTCCTGAGGCAAAATCACTGGCCCAGCACCAGAATACTGCCTGCTCTAAGGACCTCCTTCTGGTCAAAGATTCTGGAAGAGGAATAGGCTAAGGCACTAAGCAAAATAAGCTGTGCTCCTCTATGTGCTGAGAATGGGGATGCTGATCGAAAAGGATTTGGAAGGGTTTTCAGGATGATACAAAATGAGAGGGTAGCTTTACACGGGCAGCAGTGTGTAGGGGGTATGTAGGAAGTGGGGTATAGGTGTTCTCAGGAACACCTGCCTAGAAATGGATCCCTGGGGACCTTCCCCCCACCACCACACTTAAGCATCCAAAGAAGAAAGATTCAGCCTCTGAGCACTTTTAGAACTACAATCTCAAAGTATGTCTCTCTGATGAAGCTCTTCCTTGGTTCTAGAACTATCTCTTACAGTATCCACAAGTGCCTGAAGCTCTGCACCAACCTGCAAGTTCTACTCTCACTGGCTGTGCATCCTCTGCCAAGAAGAGCAGTCCAAGTCCCATAGCAGACAGACAGTGCTGTAGTCAGGCTAGGGGTGGGATCTGCTGTGCCACCACCTACTGGTTGTGTGAGTTTGATATGTCCTCCACCATCATTATCCAACTTATTCAGCAGCATTCACTGACATTCTGGTGCAGCTCATGCCAACCAACGCCTGTCCTCAGTCAGACAAGCACTCACACATGCTCTCATTTTCTTTCCTTCTACAACCTCTGCTAGATTCAGCTTTTCCTGACCATGGCCTCTGGCAGATTTTTCTGAGCTTAGATTTCTCAGGTTCAGAGACACTGTGCTTCCATGGAGGCAAGATCAGAGGAGGCAGATTAGCAGAAAGAGCCCTTCCAACCTTCCAGAACATTCTCTTACCTGGCTGATATCCAGGTGCTTCTCCAGGTCGTAAGAGTCATTGAGCTGTAGGACCTTCCAGAGTGCTGCCCCTTCCCTGCACTGCCTGGGAAAAGTGAACATCCAGGAAGAATGACAAGGGATGGGAGATAGGGGCTGATGTCACCCTCATTGGACACCTACCTCTGTCCCCCCTTTAGGCCCCTCCTTCCACCCTAGACTCCAGTCCATGCTATGTACTCACTGATAGGCCACGAGGACACTGATGTTCTTCTTGAGGCCAAGAAGGTGTGACAGGTTCATGGATGGGGGCAAATTCCCTGGGGTGTCTACAAACTTTGGGTGACAAGGAGAAATGGAGCATGAAGCAGGGAGGAGACAAGGCTGCCCTGGTTCCCCAAGGCCTGGGCTACTCAGTGCAGGAGAGAACAGGGTGGGAAGGTCCTATGATTCCTACCCAAGCCTGATCACCAGCTCAAAGGCCCTAATTCCTTATAGGACTCTTCTCGAGTCTCTAGGAGAGTGGCCTGCCTGTCCAACTGGTCAGCATCTCAGCTCATCCACTGGAAGCACACTGAGTTCCAGGATTCTCAAACTCAGGGTTGGGAGAGGAAAGGGGGCCAGAGTGGTTGCAACCACTTGGGTCCTTGCCGGAAGCTTGGGCAGCACCCCCAGGGGCTCATAGCTTCTCTCTTTCAAGTCTACTGGTGGTTTTCTGTCTCTTTCCTTGTCATTTCTTTCTTCATTTCCCTGGTTCCTCTCTCACTCACTCATTCCCCTCTTTTTTTTCTGTGTAGGTGATACCGGGGCTTGAAATCAAGGACTTGGGCTTGCTACTCAGGTACTCTACCATTGAGCCACTCCTCTGGCCCTTTTCATGCTTATTATTTTTTGTAATAGTGTTTTTCATCCTGCCCGAAAACAATCTGCTTATTTACACTTCCCATGAAACTGGGGTGACAGACATATGCCACCACATCTAGTTACTGGTTAAGGAAAGACCTCCTAACGTTTTTTTGCCCAGGCTGACCTTGAACCACAATCCTCCCTAATTTGCCCTTCCAAGCTAGGCTTAAAGGCATGAGCCACTGATGCTTGGCCCCCCCTCTCCTTTTGACATCCCTCTGGCTCCCACTTTCTCCCAGCCTCCTTGCTTTGTCCACATCTCCCTCTACCTGCCTATGGGCCCAGAGCAGGGACAGTCGCACCTCATAGAGCTCTCCTCGCTCCCAGCTCTGGCACACCAGCGTCTGCACATTGCCGCCCACCAGGAAGGTGGCAAAAACCAGGAGGATGAGTGGGCCAGCAAAGAGGAAGCTGAAGCCCACACTTCTGGGGAGGTAAGGGAGAGGGTTGAAAGAGAGAGAGAGTAGAGCCTGGCTTTTCTGGGCCAGACTTCTGCCCTACTCACACTGCTAGCCCTAGCTAGCTCTGGAATCTTAACAGATGGCACTGCTGCTTTACTCAAGGAGTCAGGACAATCCACATCTGTACTCAAAACCCATGGAAGTGACCTGTTCCAGAGATCTCTTGGCATGGCATGGCCAGGTAAGACCCATGGCAGAGGGGAACCCCAATACATTTGAGAAGTAACAACTCTTGGGCCAGGCACCACTGATTTGTAGGGTTCCTTTGTGAGGTAGGTGCACACAGCCCCTGTGCGGCCTGGAGAATGAAATATAGGGTGGATTTCAGCCTCTGCGCACCGTTTCACCAGGCCCTTTTGTGTAGTGCTTATCCTGTTCAATGTGATAGCCTTGGAGACTGTAGGCTACTAGCTCCTGTTGTTGGTGCTGCCAGAAGGCTAGGATAAGGATTCTGAGGACGAGGCTGCACTCAATGGGAAAATACTACAGGGGTCACCAGAATGGGCTGTGGAAGTATATCATATTAATCATTCTTGCTCTAGTTGAACCCCTTTATACAGAGGAGGACACTGAGGCCCAGAAAGGTCATTGATTTGAGCTCAATCTCCTGGCACTAGGAGCCGCTGAGAAAGCATGATGGATCTGGCCAGCCTGGCGGGCCTGTTCCCCCCTCCCAGGCCCTTCTTACAACATGAGGAAGCGGGCTCCAGCCTCGCCCTTGGCTTCTGAGTGGCTGGGGTCTTCTCTGGCAGACAGTCCCCAGGTGCCTAGGCTGAGGCCCAGCAGGTTACAGACCACCACAAGCAGAACCATGGAGCACAGCACGCAGCCCACGATCCACCTGCCACAGAGAAGATATGGGGATCACTGAGAATGCGGGGGTGGGCAGTTGAGCTCCAGAGAGGTCAGCATGGGACCTGGTAGCCGGATGAACCCTCTAAACCTGGTGCTGAGGCTTGAGAAGGGCAGTGCTTCACTGCCTCTTTGGGTTCCAGGGACACATAGGCAAGGGGTCTTGGTTTAAGAGGAAGAAGACTCAGCATAGCTGAGTGATACTTAGGGTCACAGAGGGGCTGGGTTCCTGGCACCTGTATGTCTCGTATCTCTGCACATCCTTCAGGTAGGGGCGGCTGCACTCTTCCAGCTCCCCCAGTGTCTGGCTCCAGCGAGAAGTTGCCTTCAAGTCTGGGAATCCTGTGGCCAACATCCTCACACCTTCAGGCTGCCCAGACACTGCTTTCTTCAGATCTGTCCAAAGCCACAGAAGCTTAGGCTGCGGGTGGGGTACCCAGAGCCAGGGCTGAACCTCTAGGACCCACAGCGGAAGAGCAGCTAAGGAGGGTAGTCTTCCCCACCACTGCCTGCTCCTCTCAGCAAACATCTAGAAAAGAGTGTGGCAGGGGGAGAGAGGAAAGGAGTGGTGGCAGGATGGGCAGGCTGCCTGGCACTGGGCAGGGACTTACCTTTGACTGCATTGGCCGTCTGCAGGCCAATCAGAAGTGGGAGGTTGTTGAAGGTGCTGTTCTCCTGTGGAACCAAGTAGAGCTGAGCCTCCAGCCCTCCTCCTGGTGTCTCCACTTAAGTCCTGGAGCCCAAGGCCCGGAAGGAGGGCATCGGCACTCAGTGCTCCCAGTGTGGGGCAGACATTCCTGGGTTCTCTATGTTTTGGATTTCTTCTTCCTTGCCCAGGCTGACTCTAACTTCTCAAACATTGATCTGTTCAGACCATTTTTTTTAAATTTCTTTTTGGGTTCGGTCGTGGGACCTGAACTCTGGGCCTGGGTGCTGACCCTCAGCTCTTCAGCTCAAGGCTAGCACTCTACCACTTGAGCCACAGCGCCACTTCTGGCTTTTTTCTTTTTGCTTATGTGGTGCTGAGGAATCGAACCCAGGGCCTCAGGCATGCAAGGCAAGCGCTCTACCACTGAGCCACCTTCCCAGCCCATGCAGACCATTTTTTTAGGGGGAGGTGCCATTCCTGGGGCTTGAACTCAGGGCCTTGTCCTTTCGTGTTTTCACTCAAGGCTGGTGGTCTGATACTTGAACAACAGCTCTCTTTCTGACTTTTTGCTGATTAATTAGAGATAAGAGTCTCATGGACTTTCCTGGCTTTGAACCATAATCTTCAGTTGCCAACCTCCTGAATAGCCAAGATTACAGGCATGAGCTACCAGTACCTGGCTCACCGACCTCTTCTTTCTATCCCAGCCCTTTCCTAGACCACAGTGGCTTACTCTGCCATCTTCTTGCCTCTCCCACCCATCCCACACATGACTGTTAGCAATGGTCATTTCACCTCTGCTCCTGCTTCCTTCTTCTCAGAAGCTCCTGCTCCAGCCAGCCAGCAAGGCTGACTCACTGATTCCCCAAAGCAGGCCCTGGGTCACAGGCGCTGACTCACACAGCACCCTCCCCTTCTGCCAGCCTCCCTGCACCTGACTTGTGAGCACAGAGTATTGGCACAATGAGCCTCTAGTCTAGGGCTCCATTGACAGGGGTGCCCTCAAGTCTTAAGTTCAGTTGAGTCCCTGTTCCAAAAGAGGGGGGAGAGACTGAGGCCCTTCACTTGTGAGTTCCCAGGCAAGTGCAGTCAGGGAGCCCAGATGAGCACTAACCTCCTGGACCATGCTAGAGAAGTTGGTCTCTGGAACATCCTTCAGCCGATACAGGGCATCATCCAAATGGGGCACCTGAAATGAAGGAGGGAGAGAATCGATGAGAATCTATGCAGGATGAAAAGAGCAGACACCTCTGAACCCCCAGTGTCCTCATGTGCAAAGTGGGGGCCCCAGTGACCCTTATTGCCTTGTGAGGCAGTAAGAAGCCAAAACTTGAATGCATGTGATGCTCAAGGCTCAGTTTATGGGCCCCAGACAGCTCTTGGCCAGGATGATGGTCACCAATCCTGGGGAAAGGGAAGGGCAACTTGACAAAGGAAGTCTTAGGAAACCCCCCAGACCACTGGGTTGCCCAAATACTCCTGCTGTGCCGGCTGCCCTTCTGAACCCCTGAGAGGCCTTTGTCCTTTGCCTCTACCTGGCTGAAGTCAGCACCCAGCTCTAGAGCATGGACTTGGCTCAGGGTCCCTGTGCAGTTCCCCTGACACTGGGGATCCTGTAGCAAGGCAAGCAGGCGTTCCCGGTGGTCTCGCACAGCTGGTTCTAGGTGCTGTTGTCCTTCTTGAAGTTCCTTGGTGGTGGCATTCAGGGCCCGAAGGTGGTCCATGGAGACCTGCAGGGCTAGGAGACCCACACCTGGCCTGAGGAGCCTCCACATTTCCTAGCATCCTCAGCAGCTTTGTAGGAAGCAGAACATTCATTCCCTCTCCCAGGACAAAAGGACTCATAGCCATTAACCTCTATAGTCACGGTGGAAACTGCCCAGGGCAAATTAGGCCAGGAAGTGGGCATAGAAGCCACAGACAGGATCCTGGATAATGGGATAGAAAAGACATGGGTGGGGCTGAAAATCCAGGACTGGGGGAGGGCAAGTGCACCTCAGAGGACACACCTGCTGGGCCCACCTGTGTGCAGGGCACGGATCCAGCTCACCTTGGCCCAGGCTGTGCACTGAGGCCAGCAGCAAGTACACCTTGCTCTTCAGCTGGCTATGAATTAAGTTCCCGAGGCGCTCCCCAACACCTGGAGAGCACAGGGCATGCTGCTGGGCTGGCCCCTCGGGAGCTCAGGACCTCTCCCCCACCCCCCACCCCCAGTCCCAGTCCCAGGCTCTGCAGGGTAATGTTGGCTTGTCCATCCTGTTGCAGTGTGACTGCTGCACAGGCTTCCCAGTGGGCTTTACCCCACCTATGAAGCCGGGGTATGAGCAGGGAACCCTGGGATTAGCCAACTGTAACCATTACCATCCAGGTCCTCCAAGACTTGATTCTGGGGCAAGGAAAACTGATCTGCCACGGTCTGCAGCTCCTAGGCAAACACAGCCACAGCGTGGTAAGCCACCTTTCCCAGTCCCCCAGCAGCCCATTTCTTCTTGAGGACCCCGTAAATTCAGTTCTTTGCATTTCAGAGACTCTCCAGCAGGGGTAGCAGCCAGGCATGCAGAGAAAGTGACACCTTCTCTGCCTAGCAGGCTCTGAGCCATGGATGACCCACTCTGCTCTCTGTCTGGCATGGGCCTGGTGCTTCCATGAGGACAAAGTGGTTACTCAGTGCTCACTCAGTGCTCACCTCAGGGATATCAGACACCAGACTCTGGAGGCTGAGCAGGGTCTCAGGCACAGCTTGAACACTGGGACCTGTCTGTTCATGCGTGCGCTGGTTGGTAACAAAAGCACAGACCATGCCAACCCTGCAAGAATGGATGAGAGAGGGAAGGCGCTTGCAGGGTGCCCTGGAGTCTTAGCAATGGCTCAGCCCTCCCTCCTGACCTGGGAGCCTCTCACAGCAGCACGAAGGTAGTCAGCAGCAGGAAGGCCATGAGGGTGCCACGCTCACAGGCCATGGCTTTGTGCTCAGTCTTCACTCGACCCCCACAGCGCCGGTGGCAGCGACAACAGCAGAAGCAGAGCCCAGTGATGGGCACTGCCAGGAGGAAGAGGCCTGCGATCACAGCACACACTACGTAGCCCGCCTCGTACCGTACCACCTGGGCAGGACAGTAAGGCATGAGGGGTGGTTTCCCACTTCCCACTTCCAGCCAGTCCCAGCTCCCCACTGACTCCGGAGGGCAGCTTGAAGCAAAGGAAGTTCATATGGTTGGTCCTTTGCCAGCATCTTGGTGAACCCATGAAACAGCTACACAATGTCTGTTAATTACCAGGTTATGGACAAGAAAACCCAAGTCCGGGCTGATTTGGGCTCACTTTGAACCCCACTGCTAATTGAACCTAATTCTGTCACCACATCACTCACGGAGGAAGGGAAAGGATTCCCTACCACATGTGTGCAACATGTGCACGCATACACACACACACACACACACACACACACACACTTGACAAGCACCTAAAAAGTGGCCTGGACTGAACAAGAAGGGGGCCCCCTTGCTCATCCCAACCTCCCTGGCCCAGCACCTGCCCCTTGACTCTCACCTCATCCACCTTCACTGAAGATGGCTCGTTCAGCAGGGCCTTGACCAACTCTACCAGAAAAAAAGCCAGGCTGAAGGTTTGGAGACAATCACTGCCCTGCCCTTTGCCCACTTCTAGGCCAAAGGTGGGTTCTTGGAGAAGGCATGTCACGTGGCCCTGTGCCATCTTACTGGGCCTCAGTGCTACCACAGAAGGGGACAGCTGGGCAAGCAGCCCTCCTGGGCCTTAAGCTAGGCCCTGCCACCCAGCAAAGGCAGGGAACCGGCCTGGCTGCTGGGCTTGGAAAATGAGCAGGTCTAACCATCTGAGTCAGAGAAGTCCAAGCTCAGAGAGGAAAGGTGGCTTGCGTAAAGTTACAGAAGAAGGTTCCAGAGCCTTCTCCAGGAGCTACCTCTGGTCTCCCAGAACTTCTGGGATAAAGAAGGTGAAGGGTATTCAGGGGACCCTGCCTTCCAAGTGCCCGTTGACAGGATGGGCACAGATGCCTGGGAGGGAAGGAGGGAGGGAGGAGGTCACTCACCCGTAGGGAAAGGGTTGAGCTGCACCACGGAGAGAAAGCGGCGCACGGTGCCATAGAGAGGGTCCAAGGGCCCAGGCGCGCGGACCAGAGGGGCCAGCCACCGGGTTCTGGCAGCCGGAGTGAATGTCAGACGTTCGGCTGGGCCGAGGTACCCGCAGTCCGAGGCTGCCGCGTGGGGTGGGCTCAGAGCCAGCCCCAGTTCCAAGCTCAGCAGGGACACCAGGAGGCCCGGCACACGCATCGTGGGGTCGGGTGGGTGGGCCGCGGGGCAGGCAAGACTGGCTCAAGCTGCAGAGGGTGCGGGCGAACGCAAGGCAGGCCGTGCATCCTTCGGCAGCCTTCCTCCCTCTGTCCCCGTGGCCCTCCAAACCGGCCCGACTGGTTTGGGCTCCAGAGCTACCAGGGCACCCGCCGGGAGCGTAGGAAGGGCAGGGGCGGAGGCCTGGGGTAGGGGGCAGGGCCTGGCCCAAATGCCCTTGACTGTCTGTGCAGGAAGCCAGGCGCCCTTTCCCCTCCCCAAATACATAAGGGAGACACCTTAGTACCTCTGAATTATCTAAAGTGGCCCAATTGCAAGTATTATATTCCAGGTCCAGCCCTAGCAGGCCAGTCTTGAAGGTGGGAAAACACAGCCACCTAATAAGGCCCTGGACCAAAGTCTCAGGCCCAGGCTCCCTGATTCCTTTGGGGCCTGTTCTGTTCTCATGGGCTATGCCAGGACCCCTGCCAGGCCAATCTAGAGCAAGCATTCACTCTGACGGGTGCAGTCCTTGTGGAGAATTGAGGTGTAACCAATGTAGCCACCAGCTAAATGAACTAATCAAGGATATGCCCAGAGATGCGTCTCCACAGGTCTCTGATTTGTAAATGCCCATCTGCCCAGCACAAAGAAGCTCACCTCTAACTAAGCAGACAGTGAGAAAATACAGCTGGATGGATGGAGGATGTTCCTGGCAGCGTTATTCAAGATATCAGAAATAGTCTCAAAGGCTACCACTAAGTCATGGTGGAATAAATATCTCATGTAACAAGCTTGGCCATCAAACAAAGAAAACAGTGTGAAAATGTCTCTTTTGACCTGAGAGATCCTCATGATACATTAATAGGGGCAGGTAATAGACTACAGAACAGCGGGTGGGATGAGGCTCATCCCCAGGTGGAATCATGGGTAATTTTCAATTCTCTTGTTCACCTGTGCATCATCATTTCTGTGCATTGAACATGTGTTACTTGTGCTTAAAGAAGTGGGTGCGTTTCCATGACAACTCCACCTCACTGAGAGCCCTAATAAGAGAGGCTGACTTGGTGGCTCCTGAAGCCCAAAGTTCAGCCTAAGACACTAGTTAAGTACTGGTTTGTGTGGCGAGTGACAGGTGTAGACACTCTGGGTTGGAAGTAGAGAGGTTACTGAAGTTTGAGTCAGGGCTAGGCTGGCAGAAGACTGACTTTTTACTCTTGCTATTGTTGCCTCCACAATTTTCTCAGGGCTGCACAGGTCATGGAAGACATAGTCTTAATAATGAGGTGCACACCAGAAACAGGATATCATCAAAGGATGATTCAGAGATGAGGATCAGGACTGCAGTGAGAAATGGGTTGGGGGAACCCTAACACTAGTCTAGAGGAAGCAGACTGTGGCCCAGGGAGTACCCATACCTCCCCTAGAGGCCCAACCCTAGTATATGGAGAGATGCCCCTGTTCACTGTGCTCCTGTTGAAACCTAACGTTAGGTTGTGTCCGCCTCACCCCTGCTCCACAGCCTTCCAACCAGATTCACTTGAAACTCCGCCCCTCCCTTCCCCCAGCCAAGCTGGGGGTCCTGCGCCATTCTAGGCTTCCATTAGAAAGACTGATATACTCTGCTGGGTGCCAGGGACTCATGCCTGTAATCCTAGCTACTCAAGAGGCTGAGATCTGAGGATAGCAGTTCAAAGCCAGCCTAGCAGAAAAGTCTGGGAGACTCTTATCTCCAATTAATCACCAAAAAGTCAAAAGTGAAGCTATGGTTCAAGTGGTAGAGTGCTAGCTTGAGAAAAAAAAAATAGCTAAAGGACAGTGCCCAGATCCTGAGTTAAAGCCCCAGTTCCTACACACAAAAGAAAACAGGCTGGTATCTCTAAGGACTCTGATCCTGTCTCTTCTCCTCTAGTTACAGCTGTTAAAAACAATTACTCCATTAGATTACTTTTTAACTTCCATCATTACTGAATTGGAAACAACCCTTGTCCAGCCCTGTATAAACCACCTGACATTGAGGACTTTTTTTTTTCCTGACTTGGATGCTAATGGTATGGAAATTAGGCCCCAGACACAGGCCGTGGGTGGGGTGGGGGTGGGGAGGACTGAAATCCTTAAGGACCTAGAAATAAGCAGATCCTTCATCCTCCCACTCTCTTTCCTCAATTATCATAATTAAGCCAATCATGGACTGGCTGCTATTGTTTTCATAAATGTCTAATAAAAACATTGGGCTTTGAAGTTAAGATTTCTCCAAGAAAACTAAAACTATGCCAAGTCTCTTCTTCAGCCTGGAGGCACAGGAAAGCTGATGAAGCTGTGGAATCCATTCCCCTTATGACAGGTGGAAGCATGGAAGATGGGACTTTTCCTGAGTCAGTGTCCAGGCCAGGAGCCAACACCACAGGTTTCCTTCCCAAGCAGGATTCTGAAAGGACAATCCATGGTCACATTGGCTGGTCAGCTCTGCCACCTCTGCCCCAACCCATCTGGGAGAGCAGGTGAGGGTAGACCTGGCACAGGGCAGAGAAAGGAATAGAACTGTTGCTATAATTAAATGCTTACCTTAGTAACAGTTGGGCAACAGCATCTAACACAAAGCTTATTTTATGATAAAGAGGTGTCATATGTAATTTGCTGAATACTGTGCTGAAAGTGACAATTGTCTGTGGACACCATTACAACACTGTAAAATTGAAAAATGCTGTCTTAAATCTAAGATCTATCTATCTATCTATATCTATATATAGATATAGATATCTATATATATATGCATTTGCCAGTCCTGGAGCTTGAATTCAGGGCCTGGGCACTGTCCCTGAGCTGCTTTTTGCTCAAGGTTAGCACTCTACCACTTGAGCCTCAGCGCTACTTCTGGCTTTTTCTGTGTATGTGGTCAAACCCAGGGCATCATGGATGCAAGGCAAATGCTCCACCACTAAGCCATATTCCCAGCCCAAATCTAGGATATTCTTTAGCTGGAATGCCTGAATGCGAATCTGAATCAGGAGTAGATGAGATAAGTTGGATGCTATCACACAACCCTATAGTCCCAGCTATTTGGAATGTTGGAACAGAAAGATATTTTGGACCCAGGAATTAGAGACAACATGCAAGATAAAACAAACAAAAAGAGTCTGTGCATGCTGAGAGACAGCCTGAGAGGAGGGGTGTCATGAGGCAGGATGGAGAGGAAGAGGCTTGTTGCTGTACAGCCTGTACCTGGAGCATTTTATGAGTCTGACAAAGTAGTAAATTTAGGGTAAGGCCCAAGGAGAGACTGCAGAGGAAGTATGTGAGAGTTTTAGCAAGGTACTGAGAATCCTTCATGATGGTGACTGCAGACCAGGTATGGCTTCAGTATGGCTACTGAGCTTGGGCCTGAAGGCAGCAGGTGTGCTTTGTCAGGAATTGTCAGAGTTGGGTGGGTGGACTGCAGGTAGAAGCAGATGGCTCTACTCTGGTCCCCCATGGTAGGTGAGCATCTAGAAGCAGCAGCCTTAGTACTAAATAAATTCTTCCAGAAAGACTGCTGTAGGAAGGCTTCAAGTCAGCTAAACCCTCAGGCGCTCCACCCTCTTCATGGCCAGGTGTGTTCCCCCAGGACCAGAGGGTCACCATTTCCTTAAGACTTGCTGTTCTCTGTGCCGCAGGAGAGGACAGTACCTTCCTGCCTAAGCCAGACCTCAAGCCTATTGACCTGCAAGTACTGTACCTCATCACCCAGAGCCTCATCTCTGCCCTCACTCCATAGTCAGGAGAGGGCTTGACTCAAGTTCAGGGGCTGGGTCGCATCTAACACTTACATCAGCCCCCTGCCCCTGCCCCCTCCCCATGGCCACTGTTAGAAAAGAACATGAGTCTGGTTTGCAGGGCCTCAAGATTGAAGGGCCTATTGCTATCTAGTAGCATCACAGAAGCTCCTCCCCTCCCCCAGCCTTACTTTGAAAATAATGGGCAACTATTGGTGATAAACCACTGGTCCTATTCTAATACTACTAATTTTCTGTTGCTATAACAAATATCCTGAGGCTGTGTAAGTTGAAAAGACTTACTTAGCTTAGAGTCTGGAAGTCCAAGAGCATGGTTTGAACTTCTGCTTAGCTCTAATCAGAGTCTCATAGCATGTTTTCTTACAATATTGGAAACACCTACATAAGAGAGCATATGGACAGACAGGAAGCCAGAAAATGGTGAGCAGTCTTTCTCCTTTATAATAGCTCTCTTTCTCAAAAGAACCAACTCACTTCAGGAAGCCAACATGGATCCTTTCAGAGGACTATGCCCTCAATAACCTCATGACCTTTCACAAGGCCTCACTTGTAATTAGTCCACACCCTCAACATGGTGGTAGAAGCTTGGGAACAATGCTTCTAGCATATGAACTCTAGAGAAACAAACTCAAACCTATCCAAACCATAGCAACATCTTTAATCCTGTCTCTTCCCATCAACACAAGAACAAGGAGCCAGGCACTGGTGGGTCTTGCCTGTAATCCTAGCTACTCATGAGGCTGAGATCTGAGGATCATGGTTCAAAGCCAACCACACAGAAAAGTCCTTGAGACTTGTATCTCCAATTAACCACCCCAAAACCGGAAGTGGAGCTGTGGCTCAAAGTGGTAGAGCACAAACCTTGAATACAAAAGCTCAAGGATAGCACCCAAGCCCTGAGTCAAGCCCCAAGTCTGACCTCCGCCCTGCAAAAAAAAGTGCAAAGAAAGTTTATTTGCTGGCACCTCCAAAGATGCTATTCATCTGTTTTGTCCTGACAACCCAGGAAGGTCATGAAAACAGCATCTTCCAGACATTTGGGTATGCCATCTGACATCCTCCTACCAACCAAAATTTCTCCTGGCTGTGTCCTGCACACCCTTAGGGAGCCAGATCTTCCATTGTAGCTTGCTGTGTTAGCTGGAAGTCAGGGTAGGTAAATGCTGCAGATGAGCCCACCTAGCCATAGTGACGAGATTGGGTTGTATGCTACCAGCTGGGTTGAAAAATGAGGTTCCAAAGGCTGCTGGGAAGGTTCTGGTGGCACTGTTTGCCCCTGATCAGAGCCTGTCTCTCTTCAGCACCTAGAAACTATCTCTTCAAAATGGCT